CCCTGCTTATCCCCTGCCCCCCACGGTCCCCAGCCCCCCACCCCCTGCCCCCTTTCCCCCAGCTCCCCCCATTCACAGCCTGTCTCGTTCCCCCACCCAGTTCACTTCCGAGTCTTCGCCCTGAACCACGAGCTGCACCCCACGGCCGAGTCCATCACCATCACCGTCCTGGTGAGAGCCGGGGGGGGGGCAGGATTGGGCCCATGGGAGGGTTGGGGGGGTGGGAAACCGAGGCTGGGAGGAGGAGGGGGAGGATCCGGCCCATGGGGGATGGGAGACCGAGGCGGGGATGGGGAGGATCGGGTCCATGGGGGGCTGGGGGGGCTGGGAGCCCGAGGCTGGGAGGGGGAGGGGGAGGATCCGGCCCATGGGGGACTAGGGGGGGCAGGGAGCCCGAGGCTGGGAGGGGGAGGGGGAGGATCTGGCCCATGGGGGGCTGGGGGGGCCGGGAGCCCGAGGCCCATGGGGGTGGGGCCCCGTGGAGGGGGCTACGGGGGCAGGATCGGGCCCCGCTGGTACGAGTGGATCGGGCCCCCGCTAACACCCTCCCCCCCCCCCGTCTGCCCCCCAGAACAACCGGGGGCTGCAGGTGCGGAAGGTGGAACGGTTCCCGCAGAACTGGGTCATCACGGACCAGCTCTCGATCCCCGACATCTCCGAGTGAGTGGGGGGGCCGGGACTGGGGGTGACACTGACACCCCATTGCCCTGGGAGGGCACCAGGGGTGGAGGGGGCAGAGAAGCCCCCCAGAGCTGGCTTGTGCCCAGTCCAGACTGGGGGAGCCCCTGCTGGGGGGAGTGCCCCCCAGGAGTGGGGTGTCGGGGGACTCCCTGGAACCTGTCTGCCTGTCTGGGGGCGGGACCCCAACATCCTTGTCTGGGAGGTCTGGGGGGCAATGGGGGGCTGCCCCCGAACCTCACAATAGGGACCCTCGGAACAATCAGGGGCTGGGAGCGGGGTTCCCTAGGAAGAGGGGCTGGGGGAGCTCGGGGGGCCCGGATCCCCTCTCACCCCCTCGCCCCTCCCAGGCCCGGGACCTGGCGCATCACGGCGCGATTCTCCAACGCCCTTGAGTCCAACACCAGCACTGAGTTCGAGGTGAAGAAATACGGTGAGTCCCGGATGCCTGGGTTCTCGCTCGGGAAGGGGGGAGGGGGGGCTGGGAGCCAGGACTCCTGGGTCCCATGTGTGTTTTCTCTCCCCAGTGCTCCCCAATTTCGAGGTGAAGATCGTCCCCGAACGGACCCACATGCTGGTGACGGGACAGGGGGGCCCCGATTTGCGCATTGACCTGCAGGTCAGGTAGGGGCAGCTCCCCCGCCCCCCCCCCCCTCTGGCTGGGCCCAGGCAGCCGGGGGGGGGGGTTATGGGGTGCTCTGGCTCCCAGCTTTCCCCAGGCTCCCCGGGATCCCCCCTCCTTGTGACTGGGCTCGGCCCCAGACTCCCCACGGGGCTGGGACGGGCCTCGGGGTGCAGCTCCCCACCGAATCCAGACCCCGGCAGAGCCGTCCCTCTGCCCCCCACACTGACCCCCCTGGGCTCTGCGCCTCGGTGTCAGGGTTTGGGGTGACCCCCCCTCTCTCTCCAGGTTCGTCTATGGGAAGGGGGTGAACGGCGTCGCCTACCTGAGGTTTGGGGTGAGCGACGAGGACGGGGAGAAAACCTTCCTCAGGGGCCTGGAGCAACAGGTCACGGTGAGACCCCCATTCCCCCCACGGAACCCCCATCCCTCTGGGACCCCCCTCCCCCCACAGGAACCCCCCATCCTCCCATGGACCCCCATCCCTCTGGGACCCCCCTCCCCCCACAGAACCCCCCCATCCTCCCACGGAACCCCCATCCCTCTGGGACACCCCTCTGGGACCCACATCTCTCTGGGACACCCCTCTGGGACACCCCATTCCCCCCACGGAACCCCCATCCCTCTGGGACACCCCTCTGGGACACCCCATTCCCCCCACAGGACCCCCATCTCTCTGGGACCCCCCCTCTGGGATCCTCCATCCCTTCACAGGACCCCCATCCCTCTGGGACCCCCTTCCCCCCATGGAACCCCCATCCACCCACAGGATCCCCATTCCTCTAGGATCCCCCTCCCCTCCTGGGACCCCATGGGATGCCCCCAGAGCCCCCCAGGGACCCTCTGTCCTGGGACCCTCCAGCGCCCTAGGGTCCCCCTCCCTCCCAGCCCCCTGTGAGCCCCCTTCAGTGAGTCCCCCTGGACGGGACCCCTGGGGGACCCTCACATGCCCCCAAAGGACCCCCCCCCACTGCGCAGGCAGCAGCGACTCCCAGCCAGTCTGTGACATGGGCGGGTTATTCGCCCTCGGGAATCCGGTGCCAGACACAGCTTGGGAGCACAGGGTGCTGGGACCTGCAGCAAAGTCCAGCTTGGGGGGGACCCAGAGGCCACCCCACCTGCCCCATGGGGGCTCAGCAAAAATTGCACCCCCTGGTCCCCCCCGGGTGTCTGTGTAACACATGGGGAAACTGAGGCACACAGAGTCTTCATGCAAAATGTTAAGGAAGAAACCCTCCCACTTTGTCACAGCTCCCTCTGCCCCCCTTCCTCCCACCCCCACTCCGTGGGGGCCCCCCCGGCTGGGTCCATGTGTATGGGGGGGCTGGGTATCATCTAATCCTCTCCCTCCCACTCCCCGGCAGGTGAACGAGGGAGCAGCGAAAGTGATCCTAAACCGCAGCCTCCTAGCGGAGAAATTGGGACGCCCCCTGCAGGACCTGGCAGGGACCAACCTCTACATCGCGGTGACTTTCATAGAGACCGCCAGTGAGTGCGGGGGCCGGGGCCCAGCCCCTCTAGGGGGCATCGGATCCCATCTGGCCCCAGGGCAGGGACTGGCTGGCTTGTGGGGTGGGGAATGGGGCTGGGGCCTGTCCCCTCTAGGGGGGACCAGCTCCCATCCGGCCCCAGGGCAGGGACTGGCTGGCTCGGGGGGGCGGGGAATGGGGCCCAGGGCCTGTCTCCTCTGGGGGGCATCAGCTCCCATCTGGCTATAGGGCAGGGACTGGCTGGCTCAGGGGGGCAGGGAACGGGGCCCAGGGCCTGTCCCCTCTAGGGGGCATTGGCTCCCATCCGGTCCCAGGTACTCCTGGGGGAATTCTGCACCAAAAAATAAAAATTCTGCAACAAAAATTCTGCGCACAATATTTTAAAATTCTGCATAAATCTGCATATCTTATTTGTCAAAATAACACAATATAATCACACCAGTTACAATTATGTTTGGTCATTTATTTCAAATTACCTGTCAGCAAGTGTGTCTGGAACAATACAGACAACAAAAATGATTCAGGAGATGTCTTTTGACAAACAGATTCCTTACTAGGCAAATTAATCCACAACTCAGAGTAATACTTCATTGAAACGACAATACAGAACCGGATTTCCCGCCCCCCAAAGAAGCAAAGGCTGGGGGGAGTCGGGGTAATGGAGGAGCTGAGGGAGGGCTGTCCACATGTGTCCCTTCACCCTCTCTCAGACACCCACTGCCCCATCCCCATGTGTCCCTGCACCCCTACCCCGTCCCCATGTGTCTCTGTGGCCCCACTCAGCCACCCCGTCCCTATGAAGCTCTGCACCCCTCCCCCATCCCCATGTGGCCCTGCGCCTCCCTTCCCGCGTGGCCCGGTGCCTCCACTCCCATTCCGCCCTGCCCCAGTCTGTCCTCCCCCACTAGCCCTTGAGCGCCTGTCTGAGCCCCCCAGCGCCCCGCACTGTCCGTCGCCCCATAGCCCCTGACCGGGCCCGTGCGAAGAAGGTGGCTCGTTCTCTTCCCTCGCTGGCTGGGAGCGGCTGCTTTGTTCTAGCACCGCAGCACCCTCTGGGGGGCAAAGGCGGAACTGCAGCAACACTTTGGCAGAAGCTTTTTTCTGCGCAAAAATATAAAATTATGCATGGCTCATTAATTATGCGCACATGCGGTAGTGCAGAATTCCCCCCGGAGTACCCAGGGCGGGACGGGCCGGCTCAGGGGGGCGGGAATGGGGCAGGGCCTCTCCCCTCTGGGGGGCGCCGGCTCCCACCCGGTCCCAGGGCAGGGACTGGCTGGCTCAGGGGGGCAGGGAATGGGGTAGGGGTCTGTCCCCTCTAGGGGGCGCCGGCTCCCACCCGGCCCCAGGGCAGGGACTGGCTGGCTCAGGGGGGCAGGGAATGGGGTAGGGGTCTGTCCCCTCTAGGGGGCGCTGGTTGTGATCCTGCAGGGCGGGGGCTGGGCCTGTACCCGCCGTTCACGCTCGCGTCCCCCCTGCAGGTGGGGAGCTGGAGGAGCAGGAGCTGAGCACTGTCAAGTTCGTGACGTCTCCCTACAACGTGGACCTGTCGCAAACCAAACGGCACTTCATCCCCGGAGCGCCCTTCCTCGTGCTGGTGGGGGGAGCTGCCGCTGGCTGCCTGGGGCTGCGGGGGGGAAGCTCACGGGTGGGGGAGCTGGGGGTCAGGGGTGGGGGGCGTGGGGCTGGGTGATCGGGGGTGGGGGGACTGGGGGTGTATAGCTGTGGGTCAGGGGTTTGGGGTTTGGGGAATCAGGGCTGGGAGGGTCGGGGTGGCGGGCGTGGGTCTGGGGGGTCTGGGTAAGGGGCATGGAGCTGGGGGGCTTTGCATACACAGGGCTGTTTGTGTCTGCGCCCCCACCCCCACTCTCCCATCTCCCCCCAGGCCCGTGTCACCTTGGCCGACGGCTCCCCAGCCCCTCGCACCCCCGTGTGGGTCTCAGCCGAGGTGTCGGGGGGCCCATCCCACCCCGAGAGACGGGTGGTGGCGGACGAGAGCGGGGTGGTGATGTTCCCCCTCAACCTGGACTCCAGAGTCAGCGCCCTCACCCTGAAGGTACAGCCCCTGGGGGAGCGGGATGGATGGGGGCTGTCTGGGAGGGATGGGGAGGGGTGGGGGATGGATGGGGCTGGGGGCTGGCAGGCGGGGGGTGGGGGATGGGGAGGG